GGGTGGGTGGAAATACTGTATTTCTCTAAATTTGTGTGCATGCATGTGTTGAGGGGGAGGTGTTTTTTAGACAGGGTCTCACTGAGTTGTGATCCTCCTATTGCAGCCTCCCAAGTTGTTAGGACCACTAGCATGAGCATTATAGAGTGGGTCTCCCATGTAGCCCCATTTTGCTAAGCAACAGTATCTGCTCTACTGTGCTCCAACATGTCTAGGACTGTCTAAATTTTTAAACACATACATTTACCTGTACATTATGATTATTATTATTATTTTAATAGAAATTGTTTTTACAGCAATTTTAGGTTCACAGCAAAATTAAAAGGAAGGTACAGAGATTCCCCATATGTTCCATGCCTACAACCTTATCCATTATCAACATCTCCCACCAGAGTGGCCCATTTGTTACAGTTTATGAACTGACACCTCATTATGACGCAAAATGGAAAACTTACATTAGGACTTACTCTTGGTGTTGTTCATTCTGTGGGGTGTGGACAAGTGCGAATTATTCTAGTGAATGATTGAACTTGATGGGGCTATGGGAATCCCCAAGTTTGCACCTGGTTAGGCAGAAGTATGGGTCACTTGAGACATCTGGCAAATGTAGTGGGGGCAGTCATTACTCTGTGGGTGTTCACTAACTCTAGGGACTTGGTGTCAGAAGTGAATTGAATTACAGGACACTTAGTTGGTGTCAAACGATTAGTTTTGGAGCATACCACTCCTTCCAGGTTCCTTTTACAAAGTCATCCAGGTTGTTGATGTCTCTCTAAGTCTGTTTTCCTTCCCTCCACCACCACCAACTGCTAGGGGGTGGCCAGGTTTTACAGATCACGGAAAAAGCACCTAATTACCACCCAGACAGAACACAAGTGTGTCTTGGACTCCTGCCGTTCATTGGAAGCGGAAGGCTTTCGGGTCACATATCTCCCAGTGCAGAAGAGTGGGATCATTGACCTGAAGGTAGGATTACTCTTGGCAGAAGGGGCAAAATAGGGGGAGCTTGGCTTCAGCCTGTAAATCTCTCTCTTCAGCCTCAACTGGAGCTTAAAGGACTAGCTCTAATGATTAGGGTCGGGGTTAAAGAAAGAGACTGAGCAGAGACAGAGATTATGTTCCCCTTGGTATGAGCTAGATTCCTTTTTCTGGAGGTCTCTGACTTACTTTTTCCCTGCATTGATGCCTCTTATCTCCTTAACGAAGAGGTGTAGTTCTTTTTTTGAATATTTTCCTTTTTGGCCTATTTTCTTTTATGTCTATTTTAGGTGTTGAGTCCAAGTATCTTGTCCACCAGATTTTGGATACTAGTGCCCTTAGACAAATCCAAACATGAGTTTGTAGACAGAGCCCTGACTCCAAATGCCAAAATTTTTTTCTTACTATCCCTTGTTTCTGCCCTCTTCCCCCTTACTAATATTTAATCATTAATCAGTAACATGTATATCTATGGCTGTTTCCATTTGTTTTAGTGCATGTGTGCTCACCAGAGAAAGACAGAGAGAGAGGGAGGGAGAGGGAACGTGAAAAAGCTTCCCCTAGTGGGGATGCCCATGCCATAATCCCTTCTTCTCCATTCTCCTCTTGGGGGATTTTGGGTGTGCACACACATGTGCCTAGTGGGGTTTTTTGTTTTCTGTTTTTGGGGGTTTTTTGAGAGAGATTTTTGCTATAGGGCACGTGGGCTTGCCAGAGAGACAGAAAGCGAGAAATCACTCCCCTTGGGGGATGGCCATGCCACAATCCCTTCTCCATTCTCCTCCCGGGATCTTGGGCATGCACGCACATGCGCCTGGCATGAGTTTAAGCCACCAGGTCTGGGACTTGAACCGCAGTCAGCTACATAGGAGTCCAGCGACATAGCCATTATGTCAAGTGCTGGTCCCATGCCTAGTATGTTTTTCAAACCACCAGGTCTGGGACTGGAACTCAAACTGCTCATCTGGCTATATGGGATCCAGCTGCCTTAATTAATGTGTCACCTGGCTATCCCTCAGTGGCTATTTCCTTGTAATGTCTCTGGCATTACGCTTTCCTATTTCTTCAGCTGGGTTTGCATCCCCCATCTTAACTATGTCTGGATTTATACTCTATTGGCTAAACTAGTCCTTAGCTATCACCTTATAGCATGTCTAATGGATTGTCAGACTTTTTTTTTTTCCTTTAAATTTGACTAGTGGATGTGTGTGCTTGCTAGAGACAGAGACAGAGAGAGAGAGAGAGAGAAGGAGAAGGGATGGAGGGAGGGAAAGAAAGAAAGGGAGAAAGGGGAAAGAAAGGAAGGAAGGAAGGAAGGAAGAATTTTTTAAGAATTATTTATGGGACCAGCAGTTAGCGTGATGGTTTTGTCGCTGGACTTCCACATAGTTGATCGTGGTTCAAGGCCCAGGCCTAGCGGCTTAAAACTCATGCCAGGCATGCATGCCCAAAATCACGAGAGAAGCATGGATAAGAAGGGATTGTGGCATGACCATCCCCGCTGGGGGAGGTGATTTCTCACTTTCTGTCTCTCGGTGTCTCTGTCTCTCTGGCGAGCAGAGGTACCCTATAGCAACACTCTCTTAAAAAAATAAAAATAAAAAAAAAGAGTAAGCTTCCTGGGGCTTGTAGGTGGTGTGGTGGTTGAGGCATTGTACTCCCACATGGCCAACTGCAGTTTATGTCCTGGACCTGGCAGCTTGGTTTCTCATTTTCCCGTTCTTTCTTTCTCTGCCTCTCTGGTAGAGAATTAAAAATAGTAATAATAATAACAAATAAAAATAAATAATTATTTAATAGGTTAAACTTTTTACATTCTGGTTTAGGGAGGACTTTGTTGGCACTGTGCACTTTCCTTACTTTTGCATATTCGTAGGAACTGGAGGCTGCCATCCAGCCAGATACCAGCCTGGTTTCAGTCATGACTGTGAACAATGAGATTGGCGTGAAACAGCCTATTGAGGAGATAGGTGAGTATCAGTAGATATCCACTGGGAGCAGGAGTAGACCGGGAGTTGCAGCAATATAATGCATAGGAAAGAAATCCAGGGAAAGAAAGTCTAAGTACCTTATTCAAGGACATTGTAAGTGGTAGAGTCATTATTTGAATCCTGTTCTAGTACCTTTTGTGATTTTTCACTTTATGGCAGTTGTTGCCAAAACCAATTGCATAATAACGAAAAAAACCCTCTACCTTTTTCCCTTTCATCTTTTCCCCTTTAGAGCATCTCTTTATGATCCTACTTAGAGCTGTAATTTCTTTAGACTCATTAGCAAAAAGATTTGGTAATCTTTCCTTATTTTAAGTGAAAAAGGATCTAAAAGTAATATGAAATATTAAAAACCTAGTGTTTTTGAGGTGTTAAGAACTTAGGAATCAGGGGCCGATAGTTGGCTTGGTGGTTAAGGGTGCTGGACTACCACATGGCTAACCACAGTTTGAGTCCTGGACCTGGTGGCTTGCTTTCTCACTTTCTCTCTCTGTCCTTCTCTGGTCAAATTAAAATAAATAAATAAATAAAGTTAAATAAAATAATTCTTTAAAAAAAATAATAACTTATGCATCAGTGGGAACAGCAGATGACATAATGGTTAAGTCGCTGGACTCCACATGACTGACTGTGGTTCAGAGTCCCAGAGGCTTGAAAATCCCTGAGACTTGAAACTCATTCCGGGCATGTGTGAGTGTGTCTACCAAGATCCCAAGAGGAAAATGGAGGAGAAGGGATTGTGTCATGGCCATCCCCTCTGGGGGTCAATTTCTTGGCTTTCTGTATTTCCAGCAAATGCACGAACCTATAGCAAAAATCTCCCTTAAAAAAAAAAAAAAAAGCTAGGTGTCTTGATGTGGTGCTTTGCCCTTCATCTTTATTTTTATTCAGTGAAGGGAAATTGAGGAAGGATAGAGGAGAAGGGAGGAAAAAAGGGAGAGGGAAAGGGGCAAAGAGAGGGAAAGGGGTGAAAGGAGGAGAGAGTTTATTAACAATTCATTTACTGTGAGTAGAGATAATTCATTGTATATTCTGAGACTGTTGCCAAGTGACTTCCCAACATTGTGCTGTATGTTTTCCCCTCTATTGTTTCCTCAGGGCGGATTTGCAGTTCCAGAAAGGTGTATTTCCATACCGATGCAGCTCAGGCTGTTGGAAAAATCCCACTTGATGTCAACGACATGAAAATTGATCTCATGAGCATCAGTGGTCACAAACTCTATGGTCCCAAAGGTACCAGCTACTCCTAGAGTTCTTCCTCTCTGTACTGTCCAGTGAGCCCTTTGACAGTTTTTCTCAAAGGAAGTTGTACATTCAGCATGGCAATGGCAAACAACATTTGCCTATTTGTAGATCTTAGCAGTTACTATACAATAGGACATTCTTCCTTAGTTCCTTTATAAAACCCTTAGAAGGCATGCAGATTTTTTTTCAACAATTTTTTTTTTGAGAGGTTTTTGCTATAGGGTACATGTGCTTGCCAGAAAGACAGAGAGAGACAGAGAGATAGAAAGCGAGAAATCACCCCCCAGGGGGTATGGCCACACCACAATCTCTTCTCCATGCTCCTCTCAGAATCTTGGGCATGCACACAGTGTGCCCGGTGTGAGTTTAAGCCACCAGGTCCAAGACTCGAACTGCAGTCGACTACATGGGAGTTCAGCGACATAGCCATTATGCCAACTGCTGGTCCCTCAGCAATTTTTTTTTTTTTTTGAGAGGTTTTTGCTATAGGGCATGTGCGCTTGCCAGAAAGACAGAGAGAGAGAAAGAGAGACAGACAGAAAGCGAGAAATCACCCCCCAGGGGGATGGCCATGCCTCAATCCCTTCTCCTCCATTCTCCTCTGGGGATCTTGGGCATGCACGCATACGCGCCCAGCATGTGTTTAAGCCACCGGGTCCAGGACTCGAACCATGGTCAACTATGTGGGAGTCCAGCGACATAGCCATTACGCTAACTGCTGGTCCCCCTCAACAATTTTTTAAAAGAATTATTTTATTTAACTTTATCTATCTATCTATCTATCTATCTATCTATCTATCCATTTATTTATTTTAATTTGACCAGAGAGGGACAGAGAGAGAGAAAGTGAGAAAGCAAACCACTAGGTCCAGCACTTGAACCATGGTTGGCCATGTGGGAGTGTTCAACACCTTAACCACCATGCCACCTGCCAGCCCCTGAAGGGATACAGATATTAATTTGACTGAAGAAGAAGAGGTTTTGTTATATCAGGTTTAGTTAGATGGGCCCAGCTCTCTTGTCTACTCCAATGCGGAGAGAGGGAGAGAGAATATGAGAAATCACTCCCCAGGAGGGAAGGCTGTGGCACAATCCCTTCTCTTCCAATCTCCTACTAGAATTTTAAGGCATATTCATGCCAGGCATGATTTTTAAAGTATCAACTCCAGGACTTGAACTGCAGTTGGCCATGTAGGTGTTTAGCGCCTTAGCCACTATGCCACTTGCTGGCCCCCAGGCATTCTGTCTTATTCTCACTAAAATGTTGTCATTATTGGCTTTTATTTTAGATATATCTATTTTGATAAAACCAATGAACTCATGTTGATCAGAAGCTCTGATTGGCACTCACATGCGTTTAGGTCTCCCTCATCCAACCGACTGTTTTCTTTCCTTTTTTAAAAGAATTATTTAATTTTATTCATTCATTCATTCATTCATTTTAATTGACCAGAGAGAGAGAAACAGAAAATGTGAAGGGAAGCCACCAGGTCTAGGACTCAAACCATGGTAGGTCATGTAAAGGTGTCCAGCGCCTTAACTACCACACAACCTGGTGGTCCCAACCTCCTGTTTTCTGAACTCAAGCTCTAAAGAGATTTAGATAATGAGATTTTCACTCTCTAGAGTACTTTTTCTCCGAATTTGGGAACTACATCGATTTAAATAGTATAGGACATTTGTTTTTGCCTTTTTTTAAAGGAAAAAATTAAATATTTATTAATAAATGCAGTTTGGTTTATAAATGTATTGGTAAATGCAGCTTAGTTCATAAATTAATTAATTTAGTTCATAAATTCATTTCAAACTGATGATAAATAAACTTCATGATAAATTTGAGAATTACTGCCTTAGTTTTTATAAATACTTTTGTTTCTGCCCAAACAATTTCCTGTGTAGATGAACTTTATCAAGTGTTCACTGTGTTAAAAAACCCTAGACTGCGGCCAGCAGGTGGCATGGTGGTTGAGGGTGCTGGACTCTCACATAACTGACTGCTGTTCAAGTCCCAGATCTGGCAGCTTGTTTTCTGACTTTCTCTCTCTCTATCCCTCTCTGGTCAAATTAAAACAAATAAATAAATATATAAAGCTAAATGAAATAATTCTCTAAAAAAAAAAACAAACCCTAGACAACTTAGTATATATTTTGGCTCACGCATGCTCGTTATTATTGTTATTATTACTATTGTTTTAACATTTATTTAATCGATTAATTTATCTCTTTATTTATTGTCTTTTCAAGCCACTGGGTCCAGGATTTGAACCCCAGTTGGCTATGTAGGAATCTAGAGTTTTAAGCACCATTCCACCTGCTGGACCCCATGCTCAATATTTTGGTACAAAATTCCTGTAAGTGGATTTGCTGAGTCAGAGGTTACACACATTTTAAAATTTTGATAGATCTTTGGAAATTATGCTAATTTTTATTTCCATTCGATGGCCTTCGTTTTTACCCTCAAAAAATTATTTTTAATTTTTATTTTATTCAGAAAAAGTAACATATTCATATGGTTCAAACTCTAAAAGCAGGTGGTGTGCTGGTTAAGGTGCTAGACTCCCACATGGCCTACCATGGTTTGAGTCCTGGACCTGGTGGCTTGCTTTCTCACTTTCCCTCTCTCTCTGTTGCTTTCTGGTGCCCTATATAGCACATTTTAAAAAAAATAATAAATTTAACTTGATTTTATTTATCATCATCATTATTTTTTTAATTTGAATAGAGAGAGACAGAGAGACAGGGAAAGTGAGGAAGCAAGTTGCCAGGTCCAGGATTCGAACCATTGTCAGTCATATGGGAGTACTACACTTTAACCACCACACCACCTACCAGCTCCCATGTGCTGTATTGCAAATTAAAATAATAATAATAAAAAGAAATAAAATAATTTGTGAGACCAGCAGTTTGTGTAATGGATATGTCACTGGACTCCCATGTAGAAGGCCATGGTTTGAATCCCAGACCTGGTGGCTTAAACTCATGCCGGGCACATATGCATGCATGTCCAAGATCCTGAGAGGAGAATGGAGGAGAAGGGATTACAGCATGGCCATCCCCCTGAGGGATGATTTCTCAATTTTTGTCTCTCTCTTTCTAGTGAGTACATGCACCCTATACCATAAACGTCTCAAAAAAAGAAATAAAATATTTTTTTTTAAAGAGAGATTTTTGCTATTGGGTGCATGTGCTTTCCAGAGAGACAGAGAGACAGAGATAGAAAGTTGAGAAATCACCCCCAAGAGGGGATGGCCTCGCCCCAATCCCTTCTTCATTCTCCTCTTGGGATTTTGGGCATGTACACAAACATGTCTGGTGTGAGTTTCAAGCCAACAGATCTGGGACTCAAACCATAGCCAGCCATATGGGAGTCCAGCAATGTAATCATTATGCCATCTGCTGGTTCCAACAAAATAATTCTTTTAAAATAAAAAAATTCAAAAACTATAAGCATATATATGTTTGAAAGTCTTTCTCCCATGGGACCAGCAGATAGTGTAATGACTACATTGCTGGACTCTCATGTAGTTGCCTGCGGTTCGAGTCCCAGACCAGGTGGCTTAAACTCACACCAGGTGCATGTGCGTGCGTGCCCAAGATCCTGAGAGGAGAATGGAGGAGACGGGATTGCGGTGTGGCTTTCTCCCCCAGGGGGAGAGTCATGCTGTAGTCCCTTCTCCATTCTCTTCTCAGGATATTAGGCATGAATGCATATCCACCCAGTGTGCTTTTCAAGATAGCAGTTCCAGGACTTGAACCATGCAGTCAGCCTTGTGGGATCCAGCACCTTAACCATGCCACCATGCCATCCTCATTCTTTCATATACTTGCTTGGTATTTCATTGTTTGGACATATCGTTTATTCAACCATTTCCCAGATGACAGTTGTCGCAATTGTTTCCAGTCTTTTAGATATTATGAATAATACTGCAATATATAACATTTTGTACACGCACAGGGAGCAATTCTGAACCATTTGGTTGTAACTCATCCTGGTAGTTACCTTCCTGATGCTAAATAATTTTGCTGAATTTTATGCTTCTTTTTTTATAACTTCCTTTATGTATTAATAGAAAAATTTCACACAGAAAAGTTGAAATAATATTGTGACACCTTTGAAAGTGATATTTTGTTTGATCTGCATCTCTCTCTTTTTTTTTGTAACAAACTCTGTTTCCCAGGTGTTGGTGCCATCTACATCCGCCGCCGGCCCCGCGTGCGTGTGGAAGCCCTGCAGAGTGGAGGGGGGCAGGAGCGGGGTATGCGGTCTGGGACAGTGCCCACACCCTTAGTGGTGGGGCTGGGGGCTGCGTGTGAGGTGGCACAGCAAGAGATGGAGGTATGGGGAAAGCAGTTCCGTCACAATTCTTCCTTGTACTTGGTCTTTTAGTGAGAGGCATCTTGGCAGGACTGAGTCAGATCTCTGCTTGAACAGGAGGTTTAACAAAACCTGTCCTGGTCCTGGTGCTGATGGCACCTTGTTATGGGTTATCAAGACCCATGCCCTTTTAGTAGTTACCAGCTCATTTGTTTCTGGGTTATTGGAACTCTGTGTTCAGTTATTAAGGACCTTTTCCATACCACGTGCTGCAGTGGATGTGAAAGATTCAGTGGTCTCCATGAATAATGTAGGACAATAGTGGGTTTAACGCATGATCCCTTCTTGGTTATAGAAAGACTCCTCAAACTAAGTAAACTGATTGATGGTCCCAATGTCTCGTCCTCCCTTATCTGCTCCTTAGTATGACCACAAACGGATCTCAAAGTTAGCAGAACGACTGGTACAGAAGATCATGAAGAGCCTTCCAGATGTGGTGATGAATGGGGACCCTGAGCACCATTATCCCGGTGTGGATATGGCCTTTCTATTCCCTTTCTGAAAGCAACTGAGACTCTGAGACCTTTCTCACAGTGTGTCTTTCCTCCAGGCTGCATTAACCTTTCGTTCGCATATGTGGAAGGGGAGAGTCTGCTAATGGCACTCAAAGATGTCGCCTTATCCTCAGGGAGGTGAGTCATGATGGATACACGGGACTGTGGCAGGGCCAATCAGCCTGGCTTCCATGTGCCATATAGGAGATACTAAGCTTCCTAGTGTGGAGATGACAAGTACCAAAGCTCTTTCTTTCTTTTTTTAAAATATTTATTTATTGGGACCAGCAGGTGGCATGGTAGTTAAGGTGCTGGACACTCCCACATGGCCAACCATAGTTCAAGTCCTGGACCTAGTGGCTTGCTTTCTCACTTTCTCTCTCTCTCTCTCTGCCTCTCTCTGGTCAAATGAAAATAAATGAATGGGGACCAGCAGTTAGCGTGTTGGCTATGTCACTGGACTCCCATGTGGTCAACCACGGTTTGAGTCCCGGACACTGTGGCTTAAAACTCATGCTGGGCGCATGTGTGTGCATGCCCAAGATCCCGAGAGGAAAATGGAGGAGAAGTGATTATGGTGTGGCCATCCCCCCTGGGGGGGGATTTCTTGCTTTCCGTCTCTCTGTCCCTCTCTGTCTGGCGAGCGCATGCACCCGATAGCAAAAAAAAACTCTCCAAAATAAATAAATAAATTAAATTAAATAAAAAATTTAAGTATTTATTTAATTACTTTTGTGGGGGGCAGGGAGGTTTTTGGTATAGGGTGCGTGTACTCGCCAGAAAGACAGAAACAGAGAGACAGAAAGTGAGAAATCACTCACTTCTAGAGGATGGCCATGCTGCAATCCCTTCCCCTCCATTCTCCTCTCAAGATCTTGGGCATGTAAGCACACACACCCGGCGTGAGTTTAAGCCATTGGGTCCAGGACTCGAACTCCAGTTGACTACATGGGAGAACAGTGACATAGCCGTTATGCCAACTGCTGGTCCCAGTTTCATTTGTTGTTATTATGTTTTAAAAATTTGACCAGACAGAGATAGAGAAAGGGAAATTGAGAAAGCAAGCCACCAGGTCCGGGACTCGAACCATGGTCAGCCATGTGGTAATCCAGCGCCTTTATCCACCACACCATCTGCTGACCCTCTTTCTTTCCTTTTTTTAATGATAGAAAACACATGCATGTGTATGTGTGCATGAGGAAGGGAGGGAGAGAGAGACAGTGAGAGATAGAAGAAGGAGAGAGAGAAACATTCTCAACAGGGTTTCATCTCACCGTGATCCCCCTTACCCAGTCCTACAGCCTTTCTGGGCACCCATGTGTACACCCAGTGTGTTTTCTTTTTCCTTTTTTTTAGAGTTTTTTTTGTTTTTGTTTTTGTTTTTTGCCACAGGGTGCATTTGCTCACCAGAGAGTCAGAGAGAGACAGAAAGCGAGAAATCACCCCCACAACGGGGATATCTATGCTGCAATCCCTTCTCTGTTCTCCTCTCGGGATTTTGGGCATGCACGCACACGTGCCTGGCATGAGTTTTAAGCCTTCGGATCCAGGACTCAGACTGCAGTCAACTGTGTGGAAGTCCAGTGACGTAACCATTATGTCATTTGCTGGTCCCTACCCAGTGTATTTTCAAGCTGACCTGGTGATCTGAACCCACAGTTGGCCACATAGCTTCCAGCCATCCAGGGCACTTGGTGTAACACTATGCGACAACTTCTAAGCCAAGAGCTCTCAATTAAGGATAAAGATCATTTTGTAAATACCTGTTTTTTAGCTAACTAGATACAGGCCAAGGTTTACTACTTTAGGAGGACTTCCTCTGGGAAAACCCTGTGCCTTTCATGTTCTAGGGTTCTAGTAACAGACCTGTAAAATCAGAGATACCCCAGAGGCTATCACGGGTTTAGCTACCCTCCATGCTGGTACAGATGGTATATTCTGTCCTAGGGGAGTGAGCACATGTTTTTTTGCTGTCTTATTATTAGTCAAACCCAGCTCATGTGGCATCATGTTCTGTCACACTTTGACAGTGTCCTTATGCAAGGAGATCATCCACTATAGGGCCTGAGGATCTAGGTTCACGTCCCAGAATGTGCAAGGAAGCGTGAAGCCCTGTACCTCTGCCAAATTAAAAGGTCTCTTTTGTTTCCATGGTATGACTATAGGACCTTGGGTCATGGGAGCAAGACTGGGAGTTTGTGGCTAAACAAACTCCCAGTTTGTTTATGAATTGTTGATGAATTGTTCAAGGCTTCTGTCTCTCTCCTTAGTGCCTGCACCTCTGCATCCCTAGAGCCCTCTTATGTCCTTAGAGCAATTGGCACTGATGAGGATTTAGCGCACTCTTCTATCAGGTCAGTGAATTCAGCTGCAATACTTAAAAAAGACATCCTTTTGTATTTTCATTTCTGTTACATTCTAGTACTCCTTATCCCATCCTGAGTTTTTGTGAAAATTTCTAGAATAGTGGTTCTCAGACTTCATTATCACCTGGGACATTCATGAAAGTGTCAGTTTCTGAATCCCACACTCAGATATTCTGATTCACTGGGTCTGGAGGAAGAGTAGGAAACTGATCAGGTGATTCTAATGAGGTTGGTCCCCAGACCATGTTCTGAGAAACTCTAACCTAAAAAGTAAAGACACTGTTTCTCCCTTTGTGTTTTGTGTAGTACATTCTCTGAGTATTTGCTGAATGAATTTACCCAGTGCCAGAACGCTGACGCAGAGCTTTTCTTCTGTGTTGTTTTCAGGTTTGGCATTGGCCGCTTCACTACAGAGGAGGAAGTGGATTACACAGCAGAGAAGTGTATTCAGCATGTGAAGCGTCTTCGAGAAATGAGGTTTGCACCATCGTGTCAAGAGACCCAGAGGCCCTTTGGAGGAAACTGTAGTGCTGTCTCCCCTATTGTTCTTAGGCTATGTAGTCACACTGCCAGAAACAAAAATTTTACAGTACTTGGATTTTTGGATTTAGAGATTTCATAAAGCAGGAAAATAGATGTGCTTGGCTACTTGTTTTCAGAATGAGAAAGGTTTTCTTTTGTTGTTGTTTTTAATTTACTACATGTGTTTACCAGAGAGACAGAAAGAAAGAGCAGCAGAGGAAAAGTTACCCACCATCGGGCCTGATCACATATTGCAATCCCTTCTCCATTTCTCCCTCCTCTCAGGGTTTTAGGCACACATGCACACACACTGGGCATGTTTCTCAAGCTACCAGGTTTGGGACTGGACTTGTGCAGTCAGCCATATGAGATCCAGCTGCCTTAACTGCCAGGCCACATGCTGGCCCAAGAAAGCATTTTTTGAAAAACTCTGTGATCTCTTTGGCAGCACATCTTTTCTTCTTTTTTTGGAGAGGTTTTTTGCTATAGGGCGTGTGCATTCGCCAGAAAGACATACGCCCAGCGTGAGTTTAAGCCACCAGGCCGGGACTCGAACCGCAGTCGACTACATGGGAGTCCAGTGACATAGCCATTATGCTAACTGCTGGTCCTGGCAGCACATATATTTTTTTTTGGAAAGGTTTTTGCTATACGGCGCATACACTCACCAGAAAGAGAGAGACAGAGACAGAAAGTGAGAAATCACTCTCCCAGGGGAGATGGCCATGCCACAATCCCTTCTCCTCCATTCTCCTCTCAGGATCTAGGGCATGCACACACATGCAGCCGGCATCAGTTTAAGCCCCCGGGTCCAGGACTGGAACCACAGTCGACTACATGGGAGTCCAGCAACATAGCCATTATGCCAACTATTGGTCCCAGGCAGCACATATGTTAAAATTGGACCAACACAGAGAGGATTAGCATGGACCCTGAGCAAGAATTACACACAAATTCACGAAGTTGTCCATATTTTATTTATTTAAGATTTTTGCCATAGGGCATGTGTGCTTGCTGGAGAGAGACAAGAGAGAGAAAGTCAGAGAGAAAGTGAGAATCACCCCCTGCCCCTGGAGTGGTTAGGCACCCCATGATCCCTTCTTTATTCTCCTCCAAGTATGGGCAGATGAAGCTGGCAGTAACTGGATAAGGGCTCTGCATACCCAAACAATTTAGGGTTAAGCTCTAGCCCTAACTGGGAACTAGAAAAAAACGTGGCTAAGCTCTAGCCCTGACTGGGAACTAGAAAAAAATGCAGAATCAAGTGCTGAAAAGTAGGCCAAATGTGGTGGGTGTACTATGGAGGCTGAAATTGGCTGCTTATCTTGGTCCCAACAGCTTTAGTTTCCACATGAAGACTGTGTTCATAACTCCTCACAGGTGGGATGAGAACTTCAGGAATATGGCAACACCTGATGCCCATTAGCTCAGGACTCCATGGCAGCTGAGCCTGGGATAATATGTTCAATAATTATTCCTGTTTGTTGGCAATTGGGAAGAGTCTAGAACTGGCAGGACATACAAATAGCTGGGAATGATTTACTACCCACCTGTATTGGGGGTCTACCAGGGTAAGAGGCAGAGAAGAGACAAGGGCAAGAAGAGGCAGGTCATTCCTCAGGTCCTTGAAGTCGAAGTTGGCTGCTTCCTATTTAAGCTTTTACTCATCCGATGTGTCTTTTTTTTTTTTTTTTTTTTTTTGGGCCGGCCCCTCTGGGAGAGGGTACA